AAATCTATTTTTAACATTTTTTTTCAAAAAAGACAACTGATTATTATAACCCATGTATTCAGCAATCCATTCTTTCTCCATTAATTTGAAATGGTACCTTCATCTTATTTTAAAATTTTCATGTGTTGATAATTCTGTGATGTTGACCCAATTTTGTATCAGAACCAACCATACATTTTTGTTTTACAAGTCATTATGATATCTGGTACAGTAAATTTTTAACTTCCAAACAACAAACTCCTATTTTGATTCCATAAATTAATTTTACATTTTTACTATATTGAGCTTTATCATCCAGAAATGTGTCTCCTTATTTGTCACAATTTTCTTTTATATCCAGTAGTTCAGCTAAGTCATATACATTTTTAATTAATTTATATGTAGGTATTATATTCTTTCTTTTGCTGTTGCAAATGTGATGTTAGTATTAATTGCATCTTCACTTGTTGATATATCTATTTTTTTATCTACTTCCAATCATAAATAATTACATTCTACTTAAATGTAAGCTCTCTTCAATTATTTCTTGAACTCAGGCCATATAAACAGATTTTAAAAATGTAATATCTATACTTTGCTGAAAAGTTCAATGTGGCGAAAGCTATCTTTTTTTACCCTAAGAAAATAAGAATAGAATTTTTAGTGGATGGCTCTCCACAGGATCTTTTCTTTTTTCTTTATAAGTTTGTTTCTTGGACTACAGAAATAGAGTTTGGTTTCAGGTGTTTTGTGCAAAACAATTACTTCTTTGGGAGGGGCATCCAAAACAAAACTACACCAAACTAACCCTTTAACACCAGCTGTTTTCCAGGTGTGGTCTGATACTCTGGGGACTTTTTCAAGTCGTTAAAAGAATTTTGAATGATTTTTTGGTTCTAAAATATTCTTCTAATACAACAGCTGTTTGGGTTACCTGTGTAGGTTTTGCCAAATTAGTGCAGCAAGACTCTGTTGAGATGAATTCTTTCTAAGATTGCACCTGTTTAGATGATTGAGTGGCAGGGTCTGATACTGACAGAGGAATGCTGGAGGAGAAGCAGGATTGGCATGGAAGATCCTGAACATGTTGGAGGTGAATGCAAGTCACCCACATGTCTGGAACTCAGAAAAGATCTAGGCTGGAGAGTTACAATTAATGGTTGGTGTATTGATGGTAATTAAAGTTGTGGGCATAGTTAAATTTAAGTAGGAAGAGAATATCAACAAGAAGAAAAGAATTCCTGAACCTTTATCCTAAAGATATTTGGGGTTTATCAGTAAAGGAGAATGAAAAGTAGCACAGTCACTGGAGAAGGAGAAAGAGGAAGAGATTTCATAAAAGTCTGGAGAAGATATATTTGAAGGAGAAGGGTATTGGCTATGTTGATTGTTACTGAAAGGTCATATGTATACAACATAAGAAATGTGTTAGTCACTTTACCATTGGTGGGACAAAATTCCAGACACCCACAACTTAGGGAGGAGAGGTTTATTTTGGCTCAGAGTCTAGACTATGGTTGGCTGGCTTGAAGGCAGAAACTCATAGCAGAAGGGCCATGGTGGAGAAAAGGTACTCAACCCATGACAGACAGGAAGGAGAGAGCAGAGCGAGGACCCAAGGACAAGGTACATTTTCCCAGGTCACACTCTCAGTGACCGGCCTCTTCTGATCAGACTTTACCTCCCAGTAGCAATGATGAGTACAGTGGTCCCATGATCCCATCACCTTCCAAACACTAGAGACTTTGGGGAACATTTTAGATTGGAACCATAACAGAATGTCAGTTGAGCTAAGCAATGTGGAGACATACATCCAATCCTATACCAGCAGTTCATGGAAATGTAAGAATTATATGATAGGTTTTCTTCCCTTGTAGATGTTACAACCTCACAAGGAAGAGATGGCATAAATGCAATTTAAATAATACAAAGTGACCACATGAACCATGTCACAGGTAGTTTTCGATTAATAATTAGAAAATATGCAATGATCATTTAGACTTTCTATATGCCAAGTACTTTTTGTATATGTTGTACAATCTCAACCTTCAAACTCAGTATTATCCACAGGTAAGGAAACTGATATCTAGAGATTACTTTTCTAGTGTCATGAAAAAAGTAAGGGATTACAATGAAACTCAATCTTGGTTCTCTCTGATGCCAAGTACATGCTTTTTCAACTCTGCTACATTCTATAACAATGTTCTAGGCGTTTGAAAAGTAAATGCAAGGATTGGATAGCATTTGATCTGAAATGCTGTTGGAATCATAGGCATTATATCAAACTATTGTCTATAGCAATGATTCTTAAAGTGTAGGGGACCTCTGAGGCCTTTGGACCCATTCAGTGGTGACACAAGGTCAAACCTGTCATTATAATAGCAGTAAGATGTTATTTGGTGTTGCACTTCATTGGCATTTGCACTAATGGTTCAAAGGCAAAAGATGGTGAAAGTGCCCAGCCTTACTACAAGTCAAGGTAGTGTTACCAACTCGGAGAGTTCACGATATTCGTCATTGTCACATTTTTAATGCAGTGAGATGTTGATATATTAGTGCATGTCCCTTGAATATTCTGGGTGAAGAGGTGGGAAGAACTTGTAAAGCACTTCTCAGCAGTGAAACACCATAATTGTCTTGTGGAAAATACTTGTGTGGTTGTTTGTGCTGTTGAATGGACTAGCTGGCTTCTCATGAAAGATTATTTTTCCTTGAAGCACTGACAGATAAGTGGGAATTTTCAGAATTGGGCATTTGGCAAACATTTTCTTGAAAATGAACAAAGTGAGCCAGAAAGATTCAAGTCAAGCTGTCAACATTTCTTGCCAGTGATAAAATTTGAAATTTCAATCAAAAAGCAAAATTTTGGAAAACTTAAATCTGCCACCGTGATCTTGACAGCTTGTCAACAGTAAAAGAGTTTTTTTAATGACAGAGATTGGAAGTGACATTAATGAATGCAGTTTTTTATGTTGTATGATGAAATATGTCAACATTTAGAAAATAATGCATAACTCGGTGAGATGCTATTTTTCAATCATGCATGGATAAAAGATCTGAAAGAGTGAGACAGATTGATGGATTTTAATTTAACAGTATAGAAAAATTCACAGATAGGGTTTCAGATTCTATATTGCAAATAATCCTTAAGAAACTACCATTTGTTATTAATGTAGTATCAAAGTATGATTATTGGAAAAGGCTGTTAATATGCTCCTTCATTTTCCAACTACATATCTGTGGATGATCAGATTTTTTTCTTACATTTCATCAAAACAACATATGGTAACATCTTGAATGCAAGAGCAGAACTGAGAATCCAGATGGCCTTAAATAAGCCAAATATTAAAGATATTTGCAGAAGTGTTATACAGTGTTACTCACTGTATTTTTTTTGTTTTTAGCTTTGGGAAACATGGGTATTTTTATGAAATTATGCTACGTATGTTAACATGTAATAAGTCTTATAAAACTTTTAATACGTATTTTTAAAGTCTCAATTTTAATATTTGGTATGGAAAATATTACAAAATAAAACTTTTTTCACATCCTAAACAGTTTTTAAAAGTAAAGGGAGGTTTTGAGGGCCACACTTGAGTTTAGAGGTCATCCACACCCACAGGTCACACAGTAAGGTAGCTGTCTTCAGTCTGTTTTCTCCCCACTGTTTAGAATGAGTACATTCTACTTCTTTGTCTTCAGGGTCATTAACTACATTTTTATAACCACTGCTGTGCTATTGAGACCATTCAGCATGTTTTTAAATTTAAGTTATAGTTTTAAGTTCTATAATTTCTATTTGGTTCCACTTCTCTTCTACTTATTTCCTGAGGTTCTCCATTTCTTCATTTCAAGTGGACTTGTGATTGTTAGGCCGTTTTTATGATAACACTTTTAAAATTCTTGTGAGATAATTCTAACTCTCATCCATCTCAGTATTGGTGTTGGTTGACTGACCTTTTCCAGTTCTCGGTATGATGGATGATACTTTGTTGTAGCCTGGACATTGCTGCCTATTGATTGCCTTTCCCTGGTTTTAGTATGATGGGAGAATTTTAGTGTGTCCTGGATATTTTTATTAGTATGTTAAGAGACTCCTGATTCTATGTAAGTCTTCTATTTTAGCAGATCATCACCTGGTTTAGATTTAGCATAAGTTCTGATCTGCATTTGTGGGCTTTGGTTCCAATGATGATTTGGTTTTCTGAGCACTTGCAATGTTATTCTGCTCTGCTTTGCTTTGCTGTGCTGGTTGTGGAGCTGAGGTTGAGGACAGGAGCTTTGCTGTTGGTGGTGTTACAGTGCCTGGTGCATGTGCTGGGGACTGGCAGCCTTTGGCTTTCACCCATGGGTGAGACAGCTGGCAGGAGCCCCAGCTGTGAGCCAGGGCTTCGGTCTTTTGTTAGCTCTTTGTTTGGCTTTCCTTTTCCTGGTCTTTTGGTCACAGGGAGCAAGCTTTTCTGCTTTGTTGTTTCTAGCCTGTGCTTTTTGGTGATTCCTGGCTGCAGATACCTTGGTTCCAGTTTTGTAGCAGAAGGAAATAAAAAGAAAAGCCAGAACCAGGCACAAACTGTGACCCTAGCTTTGGGAGGCTGAGGCAGGAGGATTGCAATTTCAAGGCCAGCTGGAGCAGCTTAGGGAAACCCTGTCTCAAAAAAATAAAAAATTAAAAAAGGGCTAGGTTCAGTGTTATGGCCCTGGGCTCAATACCCAGGACCACACAAAAACAAAAGCCAAATAAAACAAAACAAAACAATAGCAACAACAGCAAAACTCAGGAACTTCTATGCTTCCACTTCTTGTCAGGCCTCTGGCCATTCCATCTTCTTGTAGCCCACTGTTAATTATTTTTTATCACTGTCACTTAAATAATTACAAAGGAATTTAGAGGGAAGGATGAAGAAAAATTCTCCATAACCTTGGTTGCAAGCACCACTGCATATTTTTATGTTGAGAAATTAAAAATCTGAATTTTTTTGCTGTTGACAGTCATTATTGTTATATGCTTGTTTGTTTTACAGGAATTATGTTGGAATATGAAAAACATGGAGAATTAAAGACAAAATCGATTGATTTACTTGAGCTTGGTCCCAGGTATGTGAGCTACATAATGCCCCAGGTATTTCATATTAATAATTTTTATTGGAAAGCCCTGATATAGGGTGATGTGTGGATGAGCTTCAAAAACCACATGCAGTACATTATTTAAAAAATTATTCTTCCATGCTGTATTTTATCTTGTTTGCTTTAGTGCATTATGCCCAAAGGTCTTGGTGAATGCAGAGCTGGTGGTAAAAGAGAGGCATGAATCTTCCCTTTTTTCTTTTTAAGCAGGCTTTTTTTTTTTTTTAATAAGCTTTTAGTTTAGAACAGTTTTAGAAAAGTTGTGAAGATAATTCGCGTATACCTCACACTTAGTTTCCCCTATTATTACTATCTTAGCTTAGTGTGGTAGTTTTGTCACAAATAAGGTACTGGTAGTGTTACATTATCATTAACTGAAGTCCAAAGTTACTCAGATTTCCCTAGTTTTTCCCTAATTCTCCTATTGTTCTAAGACCCTATCTAGGATCCCACAAGATGTTTGGTCATCATGTCTTCTTAGGCTCCTGTCTGTGACAGTATCTTAGACTTTCTTATTTTTTATGACCTTATCATTTTTAGAAGTACTGGTTATTGCATTTAAAAAAATATCACTGAGCCTGTTTCTCAGTAAGTAAATACTTTATAGAGCTGATTCCATATGTTCCTTCTGATTAATTGCCATTAGGCAGAGTGGAGAAACTTGGTCTCTATCTCTAAAAATCTTTTGTAGGGTCATAGTGCCCAGAACTCACTTCCTTTCCAATGTATCATACAAATCTCTGTTTCAAAAGACAGAGCCTGAGTAGCGATTATACCTATGGGAGTCCAATTTCAGATAAGGTAAAGATATTCTCAGTGGGTGAAAAACAAACAAAACAAAGCCCCAAGCCTCAAAATACTGTGGTTTAAGAGCCAGGACTTAAGACTATTAGCAGGGCACTCTCACATAGATGGGCTCTCACATATAGTTTTAAAATGAGCCCAAATGCCCTCACAGGGGTCTTTTAATCTTGGAGGCATTGGCATGTATTAGTCAGCTTTTCTGATGCTTGAACACAATACCCAGCATACACAATTTAAAGGAGGATGGGTTTGTTTTTGCTTGTTGTTTCAGAGAATTCAGTCCACATTCATCTGGCCTATGGCAGCGATGTCATGGTGGCAGTGGCATGGTGGAACACTGCAGCTTGAAACAAAGCAAGGGAACAGTTCTAAAAAAGAAGGGGTGAAGGGCCAGACATAATACCCAAGGTCATGCCCCCATGACCCACCCAGAAGTGGGCTTTACTGATCCCTTTCGTGACTCCCAAGCCACTCAATTTTGACACAGTGAAGCTTCATCCCAGTATTCCACCTCTTGTCAACTTGACACCCAAACACACCTCCTTAAACCATACTTAATCCTCAAGTAAACACAAGGACAGAATTCCACTTAATGGGATACTACTGTCTTGCCTACAACCAAGAATGCAATATTCCTTCCCCAAAGCCTCAGCAGTTCTAACATTTTTTATAAAAGTCTAAGTCAAAATCTCTTCTCAGACTCAAGATGAAGTCTTGAGTGTAAACTTCTATGAAAAACAAAACCAAGTTATATAATCCCAGGGTATAATGACACAGGATAAACCTTCTCATTCTGAAAGGGAGGAATGGAAGATAGAAAAGAATCAGAACAAAGAAAGACCAAAACCCTGTATGGCAAACATTAATACCCATACAGCTCCATATTTGCCATCTTGGGCACACAGGGGTGAGATGTGAGCTCCAAACAGCTTGGATGGCCCCACCTCCATGGTCTTGCTGTTTGTAACCCATAGGGTCTCTCTCTTGGGCTGGCTCCACTCACTGCCTGCAGCTTTCCTTGTCAGATGTTCCATCTTCCTGGCATCTCTGACTTCCTAGGGTCTCCACTTTACCTTTGGCTTCATTTTTCACAGCTTTTCACACTGCTTATTCATTGGCTCTTTGCCTGGTCTTTCTATAAAGTCTAGGTGGATACCTCCCTAAATCCACACTCTAGCATTCTACATGTCCATAAAATCTAGCTAAAAGTAGCCAGCAGTGCCCATTCCACAACCTAAATGTTACTCTGCCTTGAAGTTTCCTCCACCAGATCAAGTGCAGTGCTATTTTTTTTTTGGTACCGGGGATCAAACTCGGGTCCCTGAGCTTGCAAAGCATGCGGTGGAACCACTGAGCTAAATCCCCAGCCCAGTGCACTGCTATTAATCTCAGTTTTCTACAAAGCCTCAGCACATGAGTGTAATGTAGACAGATTATTTTTTGCAAGAGTATAATACACATGCCCTTGAGTCCAATTTCCAAAATAATCATTGATCTCAACAGAAACCTCCTAAGCCTGGCCTTTACTGTCCCCATTCCTATTAGCATTCTGGTCTTTTTAGCTTTGACAAGTATCCATCATATTCTGTATAACCTCGTAGGCTTTTTCCAGCTTAATCCTTCAAAGTTTTCCAAATTCTACTGCAAACCAGTTCCAAAGGCATCTGAACCACATCTTGGGTAATTGAAGCAATGGCTTCATTCTGGTACCAATTTTTGGTATTAGTTTTATTTTCACTGAGACTCAATACCCAACACACACAAATTAAAGGAGGATGGTTTCAGGGTCCATGGTTGGCTGGCTTCAAGGCAGGAATGTGATAGCAGAAGAATGTGGCTGAGTAAAGATGCCTAGTTCATGGCAGCTGGGAAGAAGAGCAGAGGAACAGTACCAGAAAGGAAGGGGCAGGTACCAGACGTAGACCTTAAGACAACACCTCCATGATCCATGCAGACAAACCCAGAAATGTACTTTACTAATCCCTTCAGCAGGTCCCAAGCTAATCAAGTTGACAAAATGAGACTTAACCACCACATGCCTATTGGGAGACTTGTGGTTTAAGGGAGACACTTGACTGACTAAAGGTGAAAACAGAGCATGGCTTGGAAGACGTGAGTCTAACTCTTGCTCTAGGTGGGACAGAGCAGGAACTCGATTGATATTTTTTAAATAAAAGAATAAACAATTGACAAAAATAATGACATTGAATTTCATCTATAACAATCTCTGTTTAACCTATTTTCAGGGACTAAGAGGCCTAAGATCAAACAAAACTTGTTACTTTTGTATGGAATATGTTACTGTTTCACATGACTATGCTAGCACACAGAGAACTTGTTAGACACTCTTTGCACCTTTCACCTGCGAAGTTTTAAATTAGATTCTATATGATGATATAAAGATATTAATAATAATACCCACTCTTAGTGGGCTTATTTCTAGTTGAGAAATAAAGTGTACAAAATACAGTATCATTTTACTGTTACAGATAAACTTCCACATGAGAGTAGTTTCTCCCTACAGATTCAGAAAAAGACATAGTTTATATTTTAAAAATATAGCTCCTGAGGTCCTTTCAGAAAGGGGCTACTGGGCTGTGAACCCAGGAGTTCTTAATTCTTTCACATTCTCCCCAGGATGGCATAGTCTACTCAATAGTGCTGTTTTCCTGAGGAGACATAAGAAGCAGCCATCCTTAGTCATGACAGCTTACTCATAATCAAAGACCGGCAAGATGGAAAGTAAATAAATATCTCAAGGTTTAAAACTATGGATCTTATTTCTAGATCTGCCCAGGAATCTGGGAGTGTTGTGCTTATAAAAGTACTTGTCTTGTAGGTGGCATACTGGATTTACTGTATAAGAACATAATAAGTAGAATGCTGCAGGATTAGGATGTCCAGATTAAATATCTGGTTAGTTTGTATTTTGTTAGGCAGTCTGTTTTGATTCATATTAGCTGTTGAAAACCTTTCCGAGGGGCATCACTATCCATTAAATTCTTAAGAAAGTATAACTACTGTGACAGCTGAATACCTCGGTTTATTCATGTAATAGTAATAAATGGTCTCTGATTCATCTCTGTTCAGAATATTCAATACTGTTATGATACATTATATTTTTTGAGAGCTGGAAGATTATCACTTACTCTCTAGGACCTAAGTTATAATAGGTAGTCAACAAACATAAACCAAGCAATCAGGCTTCTGGCTCACAGAACTGGAGTTCAGAGAATCTTTACATAGAGAGGAGAGAGATACTTATGAGAGGGCCACATTTCAGGGTCGCAGAACCTAAGATAGAGGTTTATTGTACAGTGATAGACCAGTAAATGCACAGGATTGAGCAGAAGCCGGTCAATCCGCTCCCCCTGATGATGCAGGTTGGACAACAGAGTCTCTGGCAGCACAAAGCAGAGCCCAGGAGCAAAATGAGCAGGTTAGAGGAGTCCCTCATGGGGCAGAAACTGTCAAGCTCTCACACCCCTCCCATGCTCCCGTGGCCTGAAGCTCACCTAAGAGGCTCTTGCCCTGGCTCCAGTGCTAGCCATAGAGCTAGGTAAGTGCCACAGAATCTTGGCACACATGTCTTGAGGAAAGACTCAGTCACGGAAAAGCCTATTCTAGAAAATCCAGGCATCTTGCTTCTGTACCACCATGCTCTTTACTGATATGTGTGATTTTTCCTAGCATCCTTTTCAACATTTTATAAATGTGCTTCATAAAGCAATGCAATTCCTCATGCAGTGAGCATAAATGCAAGTATTGAGATGAAAATAAATATGTTGGGGGCTGAATTTCAGTACTGACGTCAGTGCTTTAGTCGAAGAGATCCAGAAAGCAGAGCCTCTGATCACAGCGTCACGAACTGAGCAAGTCAGGCTGTTAGTACAGAGACTGCAGGCAAAGCTGGGGCAGCATATCAACCACATCTTCTACCTCTTCAAGGTAAGGTGTGTCTAAAAACACCAGGCAGAAGAAATCTGGTAAAATAACTGGCTTTTTTCTCTTCCCCTAAAAATAATCTTCTATTTCCCTGAAAGTACTTTTTTCAACAAAAATGTTTATATGGAGTTTGTTTCAGTGCTTCACATATGTTTGCTAGACTTAAGATTCAGTATTTGTGAAATGAGTACAATTCAGAGCATTCATTTCTTGTGATGCTAAATATTCACAGAGAGTTTAGCTCCCCTTTGCCATGATAAATTGAAGGGATTATTACCATTAAGGTAGTTTTAAGTTATTGAATAGTTATAGTTATTGAATAGTTTTAAGTTACTAAATAGCGAATAGTTTAAATTATTGAATAGTTAAGTTATTGAATAGTTAAATGGTTTTTATTTTCTAGTTCTAGCAGTTTTAGTAAGTTATGTTTTATGGTTTATAAACATTTCATATTTTCAGCTTTCATGTGAATTTCAGTAAATTGTTTATAGAACTTAAATAATTTAGTCTGATGTAATATGCTTATATCTATAGTTTTGATGGCTAAATTAAATATATAATGTGTGTAGTCATTTAGTACTTTTATAAACAACTTTTTATTATTTGAAACATTCAATACTTTATTCTAAAAATTACCTCATATTACATTACTTTTATCTTATGATTTAAATATAATTATAATAACAAACATAATTATTATTTATGTACTTGTCTATTCTACCTGATATAAAATATCCAGGGACTTTTTGGTAGTTATCCATTCAAATTTCTGGGGAAAAAAAGGCTATTTTTGTAATATCTTTTCTTCCAGCAGGTGGAAGTGCTTAACTTCAAATGTGAGCTCTAAGACTACAGTTACCATGTAGTTATTCATCCAGAGGGAAAGCTTCTGATACTGAGAGGGGATGCTATTAGTAGTTAAACTTCAGCAGCAGACATAACTGGGAAGATCTCAGCCTAAAAAATCACTCTTTTAATAGATTTTTCAATTTTTGTGTATCCGTCCAATGAATATTCATTAAGCATCCCCTATATGCTAGACAATTTAGGGGTTGAAAGATAAATAAGACACATCCTGACTTTAAAGGAATTTTAGGATTCAAAAAGTAATAATTCATTGTAAAATATATATGGATCATATTTAATGTAGTTCCTATATAGTCTTCATACATATATACAAAACTGTATTCAAAATATAAAAGATCTTAGAAATTAGTGCTATTTGGAGCCTCAAAACATTGAATACCTAGGTATTAACTTAACCAGGGAAGTGGAAGATCTCTACTACAAACTATAGTACTTTGAAAATGAAAACTGAAGAAGACACCAGAAAGTAGAAAGACGTCCTTTGTTCCTGGATAGGTGGAACCAACATTGTCAAAATGGTCAGATTACCAAAGCTGCTATACAGATTTAATGTAATCACAATCAAAATACCAACAACTTTCTTCAGAAAACTAGAGAAAAAGAACCCTAAAATTTATGTGGAAGCAAAAGAGACCCAGAAGAGCAAAAGCAACCCTAAGCAACAAGAGCAAAGCAAGAGACATCACAATCCCAGGTCTCAAGTTATATTAAAATGCTATAATGATAAAAACAGTATAGGATTGGCACAAAAACAGACACACAGATCAGTGGAACAGATCAGAGAATGTAGAAACAACTCCAAGCATTTTCAGACAGCTGATCTTTGACAAAGGGGCCAAAAAAAATACCCCGGGAAATGATAGCCTCTTTAACAAAGGTTGCTGGGAAACCAAGGTATCCACCTGCAGAAGATTGAATCTAGAATTCTCACCATGCACTAAAATCAAAACAAAATGTATCAAATCCCTAAATATTATAACAGAAACACATAATCTGCTGGAAGATCAACTAGGTAAAACACTTGAAGACCTAGAAATAGGTAAGGACTTTCTGAACAGAACCCCAATTACACAAGAAATAAACATTGAATCAACAAATGCTATTATAACAAATTAAAAAGTTTCTGCACAGCAAAGTAAACAACCAAGAGACAAAGTGATGAGACAATTTACAGAATAGGGAAAAAATGTTTGCCTTCGTCAGGGGACTAGTATCTAGAACCTATAAAGAACTCAAAAAATCTAGATCCCCCAAAATAAAGCACAGTCAAAAAATTGGCAGCTGAAATGAACAGACAGTTCTCAAAAGAAGTAAAAATGGTCATATATACATGGAAAATTGTTCAACATTTCTGGCCATCAGAAGAATGCAAATTAAAATAACACTAAGATTCCATTTTACTCCAAAAAGGACAGTTATCATCAATAACTGAGAAAAAAATAACCCAACAAATTCCAGCAAGGCTGCAAAGGAAAAAGGAAGCCTTCTACACTGTTGATGGGAATGTAAACTAGTACAACTACTACGGAAATCAATATGGAAAGTCCTCAAAAAACTGAAACTAGGAATTTCATTCAACGTAGCTATTCTCCTTCTCTTTATCTTCCTGAAAGAATTAAAGACATCTTATTATGGTGATACATGCAAACATGCAAACCCATGTTTATAGCAGCACAGCTTGTAATAGCTAAATCTTGGAAGCAACCTATATGTCCATCAACCAATGAATGGATAAAGAAAATCTGAATCATTTGTAAGAAAACGGATGCATCATGAGACCATAATGCTTAATGAAATAGATCAGACACAGAAGCTTAAATATTTCATGGTTTCTCTTATATAAGAAACCCCAAATATGAATAATTTAGAGTAAAATAAAAGATAGATAATAGGAAACAGAGATGGCCCTTGTATGAATGGGAAGAGGATCTAGAGGTGGAGGGGTAAGGGAGGGGAAGAGAAGGGGAAGTAAAAATGATTAAGATGCAATATGTGCATACCAACACCCCATGATGAATTTTTCATTATGTATCATAAATGTGTACCTACATAATGAATTAGTGCTATTTGGTGTCTTATTTAATAGCCATAATTTATCATAAAGGTAAGTTGGTAGTGATCAAAAACACAGAGCCAATTAAATTCTATAATTATCTGTAACTACCCAATAAATTATGGTTTGTCTTTTTAATAGAAGATACAAACTTGTCCTTGTTTGTTCAGATGTTGTATATTGCTCACTTATTACATATGATTAAGACAATATTGAATGTCTTCACTTGTTTGAAGTTAAAATGAATGAATTAAATTTAATTTGGTATAAGTCCAAAATAAAGGGTATTTTCTTCCATTGAAGGTTCTCAGAGCGCATATATTGCCGTTGACTAATGTTGCACTTAACAAATCAGGCTCATGGTAAGATTCTGTTTTTATTTCTAATTTTTAGCAATCAAGGGATAAAAATTTCTGAATGTTTGTCAAATATGTCACTTAGTCAAATATGTAATGTGTTCATTTCTCTTGATTTCTGTATCTTCCTGAGTATAGAGGAGAGATGTAGGCTCTTTCTCTCTCCATTCTAAGTTTTCTATAACATTTGTGTCATTTGGGTGGGTAGCATTCTGCAATCTCAGTGAATATAGCTGTGAATGATAGGATTTGGGAGGGAATAGGTCAGGTGGGGTAACCTCGTATTTGCCTTGGCAGTAGGAGCAATCAGACAGTGGCCACAACATGGTTGGTTGTGATCAGTGAATTCAGAGCAGGCTCAGTGTGTTGGGATATGATGAATAGAACCTTCAAGTCAGGGTTCACCGCATGCCTTTGGTCAGCTTGGAATCTGAGGTGCTAGATAAGAAAGGTGAGCTAGAAAGCTTGTTTTGACCTACAGACATAAATATAAATATGCCTGTAGGGATTGGTTTTCTAGGACTGCTGTAATAAAATAGCACAAACTAAATGACTTACACAAATTCATTGCTCACAGGTCTGCAGGTTAGAAGTCCAAGGTGGAGGTGGTTCCTTCTGAGCTCATTACACATTCAGTGATACCATTGCCAAAGGAAGTCACGTTCTGAGGTACCAGGATGCTAGGACTTCAACAGTTGAATTTTGGAGTGGGGATGGAACACAGTTCAGCCCATAGCAATGTCTATAGTACATATATGTATAGCTGCAAATATAGGTCTGCACCTATACATAGGTGGAGACAGCCATGGGAGAAGAAGCTACAAGGAAAATGCTTTAAAGATAGCAAAAAATTTACTGTCTTATCAGTCTTTCTATTTAGTTAGGTTTACACATCACAATTTGTTTCCAATTTGTATCATTACCGGTAGATATTCAAACTTGCCTTTCAGCTTTGTGCATTTTTTTCTATGTTGAAAACTAGATCTGTTTGTTTTATTTTTGAATTAATGTTTCTATTTCAGAGATATTTTAAATAGAAAGTCTCCTTCTGAATCATATACTTAAAGAATGGCTAAGATGCTGATGTGGTACTATAAAACATTTGATCAAAATACATTTTCTGTAGTAGAATTGTCATGTCAAAGCGTTTGTTAATTTATTTATTAAAGAATTTTTTCCCTAGACACATGCATGTTAGTATGCCAGGTATTGTTGTAGACCCCTGGGGAGGATGGGACTATATCAGGTGGGCAGAAGCACTGTGGTCTTCAGAGATTAGCAAGCGGGTGAATGTGGTTGATCAGGTTTCATTGTGGGAAGAAGCTGAGGTCTGAGAGCTAGTCTGGGCTGCTGGCATTGAAGATTTAAAAAGTCTCCATCTTCTGTGAAGCAAGGTAGATTTTTAAGGACCCTGCGTGAGCTAAGATTCACTAGATGGTGGTTTCATTTGTTTAGGTAAGAAATAGAGGCAGTGGGGAGAAGGGACCACTTAAGGATGTATTTTGAGATTGTATTAACAGGAATTGCTGATAAAGCCATTTGTAGTGGAGGTGGAAGAGGGGATAATGGCAAAATTTTATGGTTTGAACAACTGAGACAATGTCATTTCCATATATATATATATTCGTAAATATCACTGATTATTATGAACATTCTTTAATTATGTAAGATTACATATTATGGGAATATAATAATTATTAGCAGAATTACTCTATTTTGTTTAGTGACTTGCTTTTTGGTTTAAAATAAATATATTTCTAAGTGAAAGGATTTAGATATTGCTCATAATTTGCCCGGTAGACACGATTTTCATTACAAGAAACAAAATACAGGAGTTATCATCCTGCAGGTAAAAACGGAGTCTTTGTTAGCCCAGTGCTGCTCTCATCCTGTGATATGCTTCTGCTCCTTGTGTTAGCTTTATCACCGGAAGCTACGATCGCACGTGCAAGGTCTGGGACACCAGGTCCGGAGAGGAGCTGCACACCCTGGAGGGCCACAGGAATGTGGTCTACGCCATAGCATTCAACAATCCTTATGGGTCTGTTTCTCCTTCACGTACTCCTTCATTGATTTATAAGCGCACCCCCCCCCCCCCATCTATAGGGGATGAAGGGAAGTAGACAGGAATACAATTTATTGAGTGCCTGGTTGCGCTTAGGAATCCTTTCCACTACTTCCTTCAATGTGTAGAAAGCCTTTGGGACAGGTATTATTCTTAACAAGAATGTAAACTTTCAGGTACTCTTCCCGGGGTCACAGAGGTAAAGGGAGCTGGGTTTCCTTTCAGCAAGCCTGGCTCTGTGACCTTGGGAGTTTCCTGGTATTAGGTGGTTCCTACTGACGTTTATGGTGGCTCTGGATAGGCTGACATGCATGTACCGTTACAGCACGGTTTACATTTCTGCGTTGCCAGGGGCAAAAAGGCGCACGGTAACGTGCTAATTAACAGTACCAGGAACAACAGAAACATGTAGAAGCCAAGCTCTGGTTAGCTGACTGAGTAGATTCAGCCACGTTTTCTGTCCTTGCACACAACATACTACTGATGTCTGTAGCATCCTTGGGTGTTTGTAGCAGTGAGGCTGCACACTGGTGCGCCAAACTTCTCTTCCCATGGTGAAGGTCTAAGCTCAAGAGCTAGTTGGATTTGTCCATAAAGCTGTGTTTTCATTCCAATAATGTAATTTAATGTGGAGTTTAATTCCATCAATTATTGACATAATTAAAAATATTACAAAAATTAATGAAATATGAGTGTAGACAGAAAGCTCTTGTGTTCTATAAAAACAGGCAAGGTAAATCTTTGAAAAAATTTCTTACTAATGGAAGTTGTGGGTAAGATAAATTTTAATTAGAAGATCTATTGTGAAAATATGGAAAAATTATGCACTCTGATTATTCTACAAATATATTTAAATTCTTTAAGTTTCTCATACCATTGTAAAGAAAACTAACCAGGGTACAGTGGCACATGATTGTAATATCAGCACTCTGGGTAGCTGAGGCAGAAGGGTCACAAGTTCAAGTCCAGCTTGGGGAACTCAGCCACTTGAGGAGACCCTGTGTGAAAGTTTAAAAAAAAAATGAAAGAGAGAGGCCTAAGGATGTGGCTCAGTGTAAAGGCCCTGGGTTCAGTCCTCACTGTGAGGAAAAAATGGAAGAAAAGGAAATTAGAAGTTGTAGAGGTTTGATATGATTTCTGTTGCATAATGAATTCAACAGTTGACTCAGAGTCAAAGAAAAGGCTTTGACCTCATGTCAAAAGATTAGCAAATGGATACATAGTGGACCCTTGACTTGAGAACTCGATTGGTTCCCAGGGGCTGGTTGTAACTCAAGTTGGTTGTAAGCCAGTACTGCTGAGATCTGGATGTTTACCTGGGTACACACTATAGATAACAAGAGGCAGATGACTCTTCCATTAACCTAATTAAACCAAGTTGTTCATATGTCAGGCTGGCCATAACTTGAGGGTCCACTGTATATTAGTATGTATTTGTGTAAAATTTTTAAGCACATGTGTTGTAGTCAGGGTTGGCAAGGGAATACATTTAATACAGGACACATAATTTATAGGATTATTTTATAATATTCACTCTAAGAGTCAAATGCAGAAGAGTGGAAGAGGTCTGTCCATGTACTAGAGAGCCAGAGAATTCAGCCAGTGACCAGGATCCCGTGGCAGAGTCCCCAGCAAGTCCAGCTGAAGGCTTGGAACCCATGACAGTGTCCTCCACAAGTCCACCTGGAGGCCTAGAGACACGGAAGTGTCTCATGCAAGTCTGCATTAAGGTTCTGCGCTGGGGAGGCCCAAAGGCCAGTGGTGGAAGCTAGAAAGTCTGCACTGTGTGAGTGTGTGTGTGAGTGTGTTAGTGTGAAGGATCTGTGTCAGAAGGCTGTGGGATCTGCACTGGAGCCAGGAAGTGATGCTCAAGGTGAAGACTAGAGCTCTCTGAAGAGAAGAGCAAACGGCAGCCATCCCTGGAGACAGCAAGGACCGGGAGCTCCTCCTCCAGCTCCTCCTCCTGTGAGAACAGCCCAGTTCCTATCGGCAAAACCTGCCTAGGCAAGCTTCTCCAGGAAAACCAAGAGCATGAAGTCTTCCCCTCCCGTTCTCCTTTTACATCATTGGCAACAATCTTCAGGTAGATCTTCCATGCCCAGGACCACGTGGACTCAGTTCAGCTGGGCATTCCCACCCAAGCTGACCATTAATTCGTCCTCCACAACATGTATCTTTTTTATAATTTCATGAATGACTTTCTATCTGGTTCAGTAAATGTAGTTCACCCACTAGACCAAAACAGTAAACAGCTTAAAAGCTAAGAGGAACAGAGCATTGGATTTTTCCTGGTTTGAATGTCTTCATAAGTGATGTGACATAAAAACCTAAACCTGAAGGATGAAAGACGGAGGGGGAGAGGACACCGGGGTGAGGGGACATCAGCACCGGGGGTTCCAGGTGGGGATGCAGCAGGCAGCACAGCAGGCAGCCTCTCCGTGAGCATTTCCTGCGGACAAACAGAAGCGGGTGAGGTCAGAGCATCTGTGCAGCCTTAACTGCCCTGCTGGACTGAGTTGCCTTCACAGGGTTTGGAGCAAAGGTGCGGAGTAACGCATGCGCCGTTGAGAAGGCTTGCGCTGGCAGAGAAGGGGTCAGGCGGGGAGGTGGGAGAGAAGGGATTTGTCAGGAGGCAGCCCAAACATCCACTCATGAGCCAGGGAAAGCTCTGGTCGAGGGACAGAGGGGAGGGAGGACTTTCCCAGACATTTGGTGCCCTTGGAGTAGGAATTTGACAACCAATTAAAAACCTGATGCCCCGGTCTCTAATGTCATTACTTCTTTTTAAAATGTAATGCTTTCCCAAACACACTGTGCTGGGACAATCAACCTTAACTGGGACATTGAGTTATTACATATGACAAATTACAGACAATTTGGCTTTGATCTACACATCTTGTACGTTCTATAGAATGACAACTTTTTATAATACAGTACCTTATACCAACTTGCAGAAGTGAAAATTGTATTAAAGTTGTAAATGGTACTGTTTTACACTGCTGGTATAATTCTTGTTTTTATTGCATTGGAATTCTCTATAATATAATGTCGTATTTTTAAGTCTTTTTTAATAGATGTAATATATTGTGGGTGTCTATCTGAGAACAAAATTTTCCAGGAGTTGAGAGGTGAGGAATGTGTTCTGGTCCTTCTTTTGGATTCTATCAAGAGCTCTGATGAAAATCCCCCTTGGCCAATTATGTAAGTAGTTATCCCAGTCTGATGATTTATTTATGAGGTGTGATCAACAGATGTGGTAAATATTTCATTAAACATTTTGTTACAGTAAAAGATACATTGCCTTTAATTCTCCTCAAAATACTCCTCACTTCAAACACGTTCTTACCACTTTCCCATTTTCTTACCATTTCCTGAAGCAGTTCTGGAAGTCCTGTTTTGTGAGTGTATTTACTTGTGTTGTCCTGGCTGCCTGGATGTCCTGACTTGATTCAAAATGTTTACTTTTATTGTCATTTTGACTTTGAGGAAGAGCTAGAAGTCCTATGGTCCCAGATCCTGTAAATGAGGTGGATGAGGACACGCTGTAATGTTTTTACAAGCCTGCCTTTCTGTTGGATGGCAGCGTCATTAACCATATTTGTGATCATACCTCATAAAGACACTCATGAAAGAGGACTTCCAGCACTGCTTCAGAAAGTGGCAAGAATGTCAGGATAAGGGTGTTAGAAGTGAGGAGGAGTTTTTTGAGGGAGTTAATGACAATGACAATGTATCTTTTACTGTGATAATTTTAAAATGTTTAAATATTCAATCATTCAATGTATATTTTTAATCATATCTCAAATGTGCTAAAGCAGTGAGTTCCATTGCTCTTCTTGGACTTTTGTTTTCAGCTCAGTAAGTTTAAGACAGCCACCAATAAAAGGAGTGTGTGTGTGTGTGTGTGTGTGTGTGTGTGTGTGTGTAGAGAGAGAGAATTTTAGTGTTTATCTACTTCATATGTGAGGTGAGGAATAAGTTTTGATTCAATAAAGTAATTCTAAAAGACACTGACATTAGTAATATCTTTTTTTTGGTGCTGGGGATCAAACTCAGGACCTTGCACTTGTAAGTCAGGCAGTGGAACCCCTGAGCTAAATCCCCAGCCCTTAGTAATATCTTTTGTAAGATGGTGTCATCTGCAATTAGGAAACACTTTGTGATAGAACGGAAATCGGTCAAGAAACAACAGTGACTTGAGACTGCTGTTTGAGGGGAAGGAAAAATGGAAAATCGGACTGAGGTGACTTCCAGGGCTTTGAGCACATCTTAAACAGAAGTTGAAAGAGGGCAGCCACAGATGGAAAATGCTGGATCCCAAAGGCGCATGGCAGTTGAGAGACTCTGGGTGGCCAGCCGACCTGAGTGTTGGGAGGCTTTGGGTTGGTGAATGTTTGCCAATGTTGACAGAAGGGACTTTGCTTTCCCTTTGTTTGAGAGGCCATAGAACTACTACATGGGTGGCTTGGGAACCAAGAGATAAAAGCAAGACCTCAGTGTTGGTGCAGCTGTCCCAGGTGTGTGCAATTTGCTTTGAGATGTGGAGTTTGGATCGTGAGTTCCCTTACACTTTTGAACAATGAAATCACACCATAAATGATAACCCAGCTGGTGAACTTTTGATGACTTGGTATAAAAGATACTCATGGGCTTAGGTTGAAAGAAGCGGTTTTAGTGCCAAGGCAAAGATTAACCAGGCTAATCTATTTCTGTCCTCAATGGGTACAGCAGCCCTGCTTGGGTCAGCCGGCAAAGCTTCTCATTAGAAAGGCTTTACCGGTCTCCTCTCTGTATCCTCTTTTAAAACTTTTTAACACAGGGTCTCACTATGTAGTTAATGCTGCCTTCAATCTCACAGCAATCCTCCTGCCTGAGCCTCGCAAATGCTGGAACTACAGGCATTACCACACCCAGCTTCTATATCCTCTTATAGCTGAACTATTGCTATTATTTTCTCAAAGAGTTATGAATTATCTGATTTCTCACAGCCTTATTAGCCATATGGTTAATTGAATTTATATCTTTTCATTTTTCTTCTTTAAAGTCAATGTTAACTTTTTTATATAACTATTAACAGCAATTTTCTGTGTTCATACAGCTAAAACTAAATATTATTCACATTGTTAGTAATTTCCAAACTAAATCTTTTGTAAACATTCATTACATTAACTTAAAAATATATTTATACATTTAATGCAAGAACTGTAAAATTAAACATAAATTGCTGTCATTCAGAAATTAGCCCCTTTTTTGTTATCCACTGAAACAAATGTAGGATTGCTTATAGTTTTAAAACAGAAATAAATTTATAAGCAGATGGAGATACATGCATTAATAGCTCTTGTCTTAATTTAGTGTAGCCTATAACCTTGATTTTAAATATCCATATTTTTAAAAATTGCAGTGACAAAATCGCCACTGGCTCCTTTGATAAGACTTGTAAACTATGGAGTGCAGAAACAGGGAAATGTTACCATACCTTTAGGGGACATACAGCAGAAATAGTAAGTATATTTCACATCTTAACATTTATTTTATTTTGCTGCTTTTTAAGGACCTAATTGTGAATGCAGAAGTTGTACTTTTATAATTTTCAAATTCTAACCTACTATGCTAGTGTTAGTCTGCATGAATTTTATATGGCAGTGCTGATATAAAAATGACCTACATTTTAATAATTTACAGATACTGTGAACAAACTATCATATATTGACTAAGTAGACATGTGATGTAATAAATATGAGTATAATATTCAACCTTGCTTTTTCTTTTTCTTCCACTTCCCCTTACAGAGCCTATTCAATGAGGAATAATGAAGTTATAAATAGCTTTTAAAACAACTTTATTATTTCACATGGAATTTTTAGGCTTACTATTTTCAGGATATCATTAGAACTCAAATTTGTGTAAATAGTCTGATACTCTGAATAGCTTTCGCTGTTGGGAAGCCCTTGCCCACAGCCAATTTTGCATATCTTCTAATCATTAGCTAATTGGCACCCTATGGAACAAGTGATGACTACTGAACAAGTTCCTGATTTTAGGAGCAAATTTTGCTTATATTCATCCTTATCGCTCATGGTGTATTTATTCATCTGAGAAGAACACATGCTATGCTTAAGGTATTTTGTAGACATAGGACGCTGTGGTAAAAAACTGTAACTGACCCTTTAGTGGCACTTGCTGTTCACCAGGTACCGTCCTAAGACCTTGACATGTATCATCGTAGTTGTGCTTCATAACCCTAAGAGCTGGGCACGTCCCCATTTTGGAGCACAGTTGAGAATGGTGAGGCATAGAGAATAACTTGCCCAAGGTCAAGGAAGATGCAGCCCCTGTCTTCAGCGAGTGGCTATGTCTCCACACTTCCTTTGCAATTTCTATCCTATAAATATTTATGAAATACTAATTAAGTGTGAAGTGCTGGTTTAAAAGCTTGGGTTACCTACAAAATTAGACACCAAGCTTGAACTCCAAAGATTCTACTGTGTAATGGAAGGAATGGAAGCATCAATGAATTGGTTCTAAGGAGTTGTATGTGGGCTAGAAATGGGCATTGAGTGGGGGAGCTATCAAGTCCCCTTGGCAAGAGCAGGTGTTCTACACAGACTTACAAGGGATGCGTGGGTGGGATGGGCCTTCCAGGCAGAGGGAGTAGCACTGGCCAGTGCCAGAGGAAGGAAGTGGGCAACTATGGTGCACACCCGAGAGCTCAGGTGGCTCTGTGGGCTCAGAGAAAAACATCCTGTCTTCCCCTGTGGTGGATGCACAGAACATGCTAGTACAGCTGTGCACACACTAGGGGAGCTGGCTGCTACACTGTGTTAAGCCACTGGCCCGAGGCAATGGACAAGGATCCCCAGTGCTGCCCAGCTACCTGTGTTAAGGGTGTCAATCCTTGGTAGACTTGTAACATGATAAAAGCAAGCTCACAAGGTGGGATTAATCTGAGTGGAAAAGGTAGGCATAGGCCATACTGTAGATTTATGGAGGGCCCTCTGCCATGCTAAGAAACTTGGGCATTACCTTGTAGGTAATGCTACACTATTGAGGCTTTTTCCACTGGAAGAAAGTCTACTCACATTGGCTCTTTGGGAAGACTAGTTTTGTGACAGTGTGAGGGAGAAATGGGAGGCGGGTGAGATCAGAGGTACAGGCCAGTTGGGAATTTGTTGTCCAAATGATAAATGAGGATAGTTTTTCAGAAGGCAGATGAGGAGGATAGGTAAGGTGTTAAGGATGTGGGGGGAGAAGCTGGATACCAAGTAGATCTGAGGCATGAGGGAAAAGGGGACTCTAAGATGATTCCCTGATTGTGAGCTTAGATGGCTGGCAGTGCCATTCACCAGTGAAGCAGGTTTGTGTTGTGTGTCTCTGGAGTCTTACATTGCTAAGAGCTGTCTGTGTATATCCAAGCACACATCCATTGGCAAGTTGGCTCTTTGGGGCTGGAACTGAACATTGGGTCTGGGGAGGAGGAGACTTGGATGTGAGTCCCTTGTGTCTGGGTAGCAGAAGAGGGCACTGAGCAACCAAAGTTGTCCAAAGGAAAGGCAGCATGTGGAGAGAAGACTGGCAGATTCCTGGGAAGATGAAGAGAAATCTTTAGTTGCTACAACCCATCCTTCCTGATGACAACAACAAACAAGAAGAGGAGAAAGCAAAGAGCTGTCAAAGCTGTAAAAATCATGGAGACCAAAAAAGTCAACACCGCGGACATTAGGGAGGTTTAGTAGATGGTTGGCCATACCTCTTAGATTTAGCCAGAGTGTTATTAAGCAAGGTGTGGTAAAGTAAGTAGGGACTGGCATTGAAGACTCACCTGAGGGCACAAGGTGTGCAGGAGCAACACCAGTGACCTATGCAGCTTTCTTAAGCTCCATTGGTTGACAAAGCAGGGAGGATAGATGGTTGAAATAAGTCCTGGGTGTGTGAAAAGTGCATTTGACAGACAGGAACTAAGGGTGTTGAGGATGCTGGCAGGAATGATACTTTTGAGGTGCCAACTGAAGAGGGATGACAGGGCAGGGGAAATGTTAGGGTCTCAGTGAAATGGAAGATTTCCAGCAGTTGGGGAGGGGAATAGCATGTCAGAGGGAAAGCATAAAGTTTCAGAAAAAGTGACCAGAGGTGGGAGAGTTGGAGATGAATGTTGTAGAGAAGGTGATGTCAAGATCCATGTTCTTGTACAGAGAATTAACTCGAATTTGCTAAGGCCTTTGAAAAATTTCCACATAAAATGAACAGTTTGAAACTCTCTAAACACTCTTCCGTTTCATGTGATTTAGGTCTGTTTGTCATTTAACCCTCAAAGCACACTGGTGGCTACCGGAAGTATGGACACCACGGCCAAGCTGTGGGACATTCAGAGCGGAGAGGAAGTGTTCACTCTCACGGTACGTCCACAGTGTCAGCAAGCCGATCGCCTGCCTTCACTTTTCTCTGTATCTCTGTTGCACAATGAACCATAAGTTGGGAGATGCTTTTCACTACTGGTTTTCCAACTGCGGTAGAAGGTTATAATGGGTTTGCTGACTATTCCCAAAGACTGGAGTGGAGGTGCTGGGGATGCCAGAGGAAGTTTTATTCTGTTGAACTGCATGTTGTGAAGCAAGCCAGCTCTAGCTCCGACCCCATCATCATCGTTTGAAGGCCCAGTAGGTGAGCCATGCAGAAGATTCCTTCCGGGGATGACTGTTCTCCCTCTCCCTCTCTCGTGACAATCTTAAGACATGCCTGTGTGATGGGGTCAGAATGACATGGGGCAAGGGAGCAGAGGTCAAGTGCCAAGGGTCATGGCCCAAAGGGTGACCTCTCTTGTGTTTGCTCTTCTCTGTCCCCACTGCCTGTCTGGCACCCTGCAGTCATCAGCCACTCCCACTTCATCCCACTCCAGCCAAGCAGCCATGACGGAATAGGCTGACTCTGAGCTATAATCAGTGGGAAGAGCTGGGTGAGAAAAGTCAGTTTTCTTGTTCTTTGAAAATTACAACTGAATTAAAAAAAAAAAGGCAAGATTTCTTTCCTAAGAAAGTTAAAATATAGAATGAACATGTGATAACCCCCGTAATTTAAAAATAATATTAAGAGGTCTTTAGTCTGATCACCTCGCATTATGAACATAGGTCTGCGCCTCCTGATCACAGTAGCCATGATTTCACAGGGCGCTGCTCGCTTACTGCCTCTTCTTCCTGGTCAGCACGGAGGGAAGCCCCTGGGAATGCCTAGCGTTTCCACCACGTTTCCATTTTTCCTTCTACGGAGTGTGTGAAGGCCACTGAGCAAACCGCGTGCTGCTCTGCACACTTGTGTGCCACTGGAGAGGGGAGCACGTTCGTCTGCGTGACTGAAATTGTAACGTGCGGCTACATTTCATTTTTGTCATTAGGAGTCAACCAGGAGATCAGTCAGCAAATGATCGGTTCTAATTCTTTGTATTATTTGAAAATATAACTGTGTTAATTTCCTAGAGTAATTAGGGAAAGGAGCAGTATCTGCCAGCTGCACGCTCTTATCCGAGTCCCGGGGTCCGCTCAGGGTGGGGCCTCCGAAGTGGGCTTCTCGGGAACACTGCAGTGTAGTAGGGAAGACGGGCCAAGGACCACCCGTCTTTTTCCCCCTTCCCAGCAAACCACCTTAAGAATTTCCTCTCTCAAAGTTATTAAACTTATTTTGCACACTGTTTTCCTTTGCCCATCAGCCCATAATGACACATTCATTTTAAAAGAAAGTTTACATAAAACTTTGAAAGGATGAGAAAACTGGGATTTTGGATCCAGATGGTCCAACTGATTCTACAACATAGAATCATCCGACTTGCTCGTGGTCTCTTGGGCTGGGCTGGGTGGAGGGGGGCAGGTCCCAGGAAGTTGCTGGATGTGTGCTGGTGACAAGTCCTATTATTTCCAGAACAACATGAAAGAAGCCCTCTTTCCTAAAGTATGTCTCCTTTTTTAAACAAAGTTTTATTAAGTTAAAATGAATTTGCTTTACGTGTAAGGCAATGATTCTTAGTCCTCTTACAGAATTGTGTAACTATTGCCACAATCTAGTGTTAGCCTATGATACTGTACATGAGTAGACATTGTTTCATCTGTAGTATACATGACAGTATCTCTTCTTTCCTTAGGGACATTTGGCAGAAATCATTTCCCTGTCATTTGACACCTCCGGAAACAGAATCATTACAGGGTCTTTTGATCACACAGTCATAGTGTGGGACACTGCCACTGCAAGGTATTTCTTAATTCTTAGGAATTTAAAAATTTGCAGCTGGGGCTGAAGAAGACGCTATGTTATTTGTTATTTTAACCTCGACAGTATTAAATATTCTTTTGATTTCATAGGAAAAGGATACATTGATAGCATAAAGTAATTTATTCTTCAATCATATGTTTGATTTACAAAATAATTGTCCCCAGAATTTTGGGCCGATAATACAAAACAGTAATAGAAAGGGAGAATATTAGCAATAGCCTGATTATATAGCTATGATTTAACCAGTGCACTATGTAATCAAATTTCAATGACTTGTTATAATGGTAGGTATGATTAAATATAAATGAATAACATGAATACATAAATCTTGTACTTAATTTCCCAAATTTAATTTAATCCAAGAACTTCAATTTCCTTCCTAACGATCTTTGGTCCTAGTTGCTAAGAAGTTAGCTAAATTAGCATATTTGTGTTGGAAAACTCCACTCTTGCCTGCATTTCGACAAGAGGTTCATTATCAGGAGTACCAACTGGGATGAGCTCAATCATAAATGAAAAGGAAAAGCCTTCCAACCTCCATGTGTTGTTTCTGAACAACCAGGGTCTGCTGATCGGGTGTAAGAGCGCTTCTGGAATTTGTTACCCTTTCCACTCTGAAATGTTTTCTTAAATAATGAATTTTTCACAAAATTATTTTAATTGTGATATTGATGGAGTACAATGTGATGATTCAATACATATTTAGGGTGTAATGAGCAAGGTAGGGTAGTTAGTATTTCCATCTTCCTACACCTTTCATTTCAAAACTTCTGATTAACATGTAATAATTGTCCATGTCCTGGAGTACAGGGTAACATTTCAATGCAAATATGCAATATATCCTGTCAAAACCAAAAACTTAATGAAAGTGGAGGACTTTATGTTGAGTGAAATAACTTAGACACTGTAAATGTTATCTTTGATTCTTTAAACTTGAAGTACAGTTTTGTTGAAATTAGTAGCTTCCTTTTGAGCTCTAGTTGAATTTCTGTTTCATTCTCAAAGATATTTTGTAAAAATCGAAATTTACGATACTTCACAGAGATGGGCTTGAGCCCTTATTTTGTGCATACCCTGGAGAGAGCTCTTGGGACACTTCCGTGCATTTCTCTCTCGTAGGAAGGTGCACACCCTGATCGGTCACTGTGCTGAGATAAGCAGCGCTGTGTTCAACTGGGATTGCTCTCTAATACTGACTGGCTCCATGGACAAGACCTGCATGGTGAGCTCAAGAAGCATATGTGCTTTCCATCGGGTCCATATTCTTTGCATTATCTCAGGTTTGTACTGTAACATAAACAAATTGCAAAGGTGATATGAAATTGAGCTATTTATTTTTATATAATAACTAGTAATATTTGATCTCAAGTTTCACATTTTCCAAGCCTGAAGGAATTATGAGGTGGTAAAACAATTTTGATTGCTTTAAAAGTCTTACTATCTTATTTGAAAGGGCACCTTATGTTTGTTTAATGTCAAGATGTTCATTTATTAAATTTTGATTTAGCGTGGCCATCAAGGAGCCTCAGTTAAGTGTCTCCCTGCCTGTAAGTTTGTGCACATTACAAAATGGTTGCTAAGAACATATGCTCTGTAATTATCATTTGACTGTCTATGAATTGTACAATAATATTATAATGTACTTTTCATTTTCTGGCCTTCTAATTTGGAACATTATCATCTAATGTGCACCTGATAAAAAGAGCACCCTTCTTAAATCACTAAAGCATATACTTGGGGTTTGTTTTCTTTTCCTAATGCTGTGGTAGACTGATGCCACTAATGTAGCAGACTAATGTCTGACCTTGATCTTCTGTGACCTAAGTGGGCCTTGCCAGATGATTGGATGTGGTCTCTGGTCATTAATCAAGGCAAAACTAATGAACAAGTGAGAATTACACACACAGTTTTGGCGTAGTTATTTAAGCAGCTATTAGCATGTTGTAAGACCACTGGCCATCTTTGCACTTTAAGCAGATCAGTTTCTTTCTTTAACTGCAGTTGTGGGATGCTACAAATGGAAAATGTGTGGCAACCTTAACAGGCCACGATGATGAAATACTAGACAGCTGCTTTGATTATGCTGGAAAGCTTTTCGCAACTGCTTCAGCTGATGGTAGGTAATCTACTAATATATTTAATTTATAGAGGAATTAGTACTCTGCTTGTGTCTGTCCTACGGATCATAGCCCTGAGTGCAAGATATGGTGGAAATTATATGTACTTTTTCTCCATGATGACCATACATGTCATTACGGTGTATCTATGTTATACTCTTGATAACCACGTATGATGTTATACATTGTGTTACATCCTTACCTTATAAACATACCTATCCATATGCAGGTCTTTGTTTCCCCCATAATAATCTGCAGCAACATTTTGTGCATTATGTCTGCCACATCTTTGTGATAACATGATGATATGCTATGAATTGTCTTTTTGGCTACCATTCATAATTCTATACTATGTTTGGTCATCTTACTGATAACCATAAATGTGATGCTGTATTAAGTATGCCTGAATTCCAGGAAGAGCATGTGTGATACTAACACTGTATCTCTCATTTTCCTATTGGTCATGTGTGACATTATATTGTGTGTCATTACCCAGTGACCACGTATTATTGTACAGAGGATCTACATCATCTCTTTGCAAGTTATGCTATTATGCTATGCTGTGTTTCCATCTCTTTTGAAGCTATGATTGGTGCTAGGCTGTATCTGCATCATATCCTTGCTAACAACTTATGACTACAATGTCTGTGTTCTTTCTTTGATTACAATGCACCATACTATACTGTACTATACCATATACTATACTATACTATAGTATATATCTGTAATCTCCTGATGGCCCAGTAAGATACTACATTACATACACATCATTTCCCTGATGACCAGGTAGACACAACTCTGTATACATTATCTTGTTGATTACTATGTGTGATAATACACTTCACTTGTATCATATTCTTAAAAAACATGTACGATGTTTTACTGTATCCAGCTCATTTCACTGAAAGCCACACATGCAGTGTGTATCATCTCACTGACATCCACCTTTACTGACCTACCCTGCGTACGTCATGTCTCCTGTATCGGAGTACGCTGCTGTGGGAGACTGGCACAGATATAGATAGCTCGATCATTTGCAATCCCTTTGCCCCTCATCTCCCCCTGATCTCCTCCCTGTCTCTAAGTCTGCCTTTTTGTTTCCTACCACCTCTCCTTTGTTTTACTCTTATATATGTTTTAGGTTTCTTATACAATGGAAAGATACAATGTTTAATTTTCCATGCCTGACTTATTTCACTTCATTTTACGGTTTCACATTCCATTCATTTTCCTGCAAATGATATGATTTCTTTCTTCTTCTTTATGGCTGAATAATATTCCACAGTGGGGGAGAACCTAACGTGACATGGTAAGATACTCTGATATTTAGATTAATCTAAAAAGTATATGTATGAAAGAGAGGAAAAGTTAGAAAGGGTAAAGAAAAGAGAAAAAAGATATAAGGGCCAAGAGCTGAGAGACAGAAGGAGGGATGTGGGAGAAAATAGTGAAGGCAGGGAAAGGCAGGAAAGAGGGTAAATGGGAAGAGATGAGGAGGTTGTGGCCAATTGCAGAACTGACGGTCAGGAAGAAACAGCTACTGATGTGGTCACATGGGACTGAACCACGTAGAACATGATATAAACAACAAGAGGAAACTCGCATGTGTAGCTGTAGCCATGAGTCATGCATCCAAAGCCCCCACAGTCAAAAAAATCAAATAAGAAGAAAGGAGGACAATGAACCTTCTCTGTTTGGTTAGGCTGAACTGTTGAACAGGCTCGCCCGTTCTGTCTGAAGGGCACTGTGGTCAAGAGCCTCCGGGGTCCTCCGCCTGCCAGCAGGTTGAGGTGCCCCTTCTTTGTTGGCCGTCAACCTCGGGCTCTCTGGTCCACTTCCTGCCCCAGCTCTGCTGTTTGTTTTACCGGCTCCACCTCTCAGGCCCCATAACTCTCTGCTTACAGCTATGCCCCTGTCCCACTGAGCCTTTCTCTGCATCAGGCGGGAGGCAGGAGAGGATCCCTGTGTACCATTGGGTGGCTTTTCTCCACCTGCTGCTCTCCCAGGTCACCGCTGTACTTCTGCTTGTCAAGTTCCTATCTGACCTTCGAAGCCAGTGGTTTTGAGCCTCTGCAGGTGCAGATCTGAAGTGCTTTCTCCACTTGCAGTGATCGTGTGTCCCTGTTCTTCACCTTTCCTTGAGATCTCTTTCCAGCCCTTGCATTCGGTGGAGTTTGGGTGGTGAATTCAGTTGGCAGGAGAGACCCCTCACTGGCAGGGCTCTGCGTCTTTCTTCATCCTTGAATGGCACAAGTCACCACTGCTGCAAGCCCCTGTCTTTCTCATCTTTCTCACAGATCCCACAGTGCTACTTCTGGATCCCTAGCCAGGACCATGCCCTTTGCCACTGGGGCTTGGCAGCTCTATCCCAGCCAGTGCCTTCTGAGTGACTCCAGCTTACCTTCCCACAGGGCCCTGTTCTGTGGAGGCAAATATCTCCTTCTCTGGGCCTTGTTCTGAACAGGAGAAGAGCTGGGCCTGGTGGGCACTGGGCAGTGCCGATGAGACTGGGTGCCTCTAGGCAGCTACACTGGGCTTCGACCCTCAACGGGACTTGAATGTTTTCCAAGATGGCGCATTAACCAGACCTGGGCTGTGGGAAATGCTGGGGTCCAGAAGCAGCCCTGCTTCTTATTCTGAACACCTCTGTTACTGGATTTCATCTCTTGGCCTTCTTCTTCAAGGTGCCTTCCCTTGGCTGGGTTTTGTCTCCATCCCATGTGCTTGCTACCTTGGTGAGCATCTCATATGTACTGTGAGTCCAGCTGCCTCTGGCTCACCACGATGGAATCTGCTGTGGACCTGCTAACTCTATATCATCTTCTGGCCACCATTGTCACGTGACACAATGATCGTGGGTCATGCTTTACCATGTCTGTGTTATATCCTTGATGACCTTTTAAAACACTACACTTTGTGTTGCCTTCCTACACCTTACACAATGCTATATGATGTTCCTATTATTTAATGATTCCATGTATGAATCTGTATTGTATCTTTTTAATTTTTTAAAAATCTGCGCAAGATGCCATGCTGTATGTACATCAAGTTCTTGAGAATGATATGTGGTTCTATAATATATATTATCTCCATAGTAAACATCTATAGGTTTTACTGTTTGACTCAAGGCCTTGAAAGCACTTTATGAAGCTATATAATGTTTCATCTTATTACTCTCATATATCACAATACAATATAATGTCTCTCTTTACCACATATATTGCTGTATTGTCATGTCCTTGATAACTATGTAAAATGCTACCCAGTGTCTATTTCCTCTTCCTGATAACTACACATAATGTGTACTAATATTTGGATTATGACCATAACAACCCTGTATGATACTGTACTATATTTCATCTGACTGTGCACAATTCTTTGTTACACTGTGGCTGTGTTGTCACCTTGAAAGTTACATATGATGATACATTATTTATTTCTGCATTATTTTGTCGACAGCTATTTTTCATGTTCCACAATGTCAGCCAGACATTTTTAATGAGCCTGTGTGCTTTTTAAGTATCTTTGCTAGCTCTTGACAACCATGGAAGATGCAACATTATGTCTTTGTTATCTCACTGAGATCATGTAGGATATTATATCTGCGGCACCACCCTAAAAACAGGATGCTACTCTATGCCTAATAATTTCCTTGGCAACTGTGTATGATTGTATACTTTTGTATACTGTATCTACATTTTCTTAAGAGCAACAAAGTTTCAGTGTAGTTCCATACATTTTTAAATAATTGTGCATAATGTTATACCCTGAGTAATATTACTGATGACAGTACATAATGCTGAGGTGTCTATGACATTAATTTGATAGCCATACCTAAAATTACACTATATCTGCAAATCTGCTTAACAAGCACATGTGATACTATTCTATGACTGTGCTATCTCTTTGGTAACCATATATGATATTTAAACTAAGGTTCTTCTCTTTAACAAAAACATATTATGAATGTCCGTGTTCATGTCATCCTCTTGAAAACCAAATGTGATGCTGTGCTATAGCTAGGTCATTCTTTGATGACCTCACGGAGCGTTACTCTGTTTTGTATCCTTCCTAGTTAACCATGTGTTATATGCGCATATCTATGATGAGCATGTATGATGCTGGGCTATATCCGTGTCATCTCTTGATCACAACATATGTTGCTACACTACGCGTCATCTCTCTGTAGTGCACATACAACTCTACAGCATTATTTTATTATCTGCCTGATGGCGATGTATGACATCACACTGTGTCTTTTTCATATCCCTGACAACCACACATCATGGTATACGATGTCTATATTATATGATGCCCTTGTACAACGCACACGATGTCTACCTCTACTTCTAGATACTGCATCCAATCCTACACTACATTGGAATCATCTCATGGATGATCATCTCATTGGTGCTCTACTATTTTTGTCTCATCCTGACTCTAAACTGTGTTTGCGTCATCTTGTCAGAATTGTGTGCATTATACCTTGGTCATCTTTCTGATATTCATAGATGACATGACACTATATCTGCATCATCTCTGTGATAGGTGATTTGACCATAATCTATGTTTATTTCATCTCCCTCATGACTACCCAAGACACCAAGCTATTTCTGTTTCTTCTCCCACGTAATCATATATGATACTACCTGATGTCTGCAACATTTCTCCAGTGACCACATTCACACTCTATCTTTGTCACCATCTGTGAAAGCGTAGCATGCTGTACTATGACTGTGCCATTGTTCTGACAATCATGCATGAGTCTACACTACATCTAAGCTGTCCCTCTGTCAAGGGTGTATGATGCTACATATATCTGTCTGGTTCCTCTAAAGACCATAATTGACCCTACATTATGTGTGCATAAGTTTCCAAGCCATTTAAGAAATCTGGCCAAGTGAAATGCTTTATCCTCGCATGTCTTTTTCTTAGATTTCTCTGATTTTCCCTTTGCGATTAACATGCTTTTAAGGAGCCACATATCTTGCGTGTTATCATGAGTTGCAGAATTTTACCAGTGATTTATTTTAGTTATCCAGCCATTATTTTACTATTGTCTCCCTTTTCAAAATTATGTCTGCCTGCTTGCTCTCTTACTAGGATTTCTCAGTGGTGGTCTTTAGATACAAATCCTGTTTATATTATAAATGTTAACCCTCTGAGTTGGGGGAATTTTGTTTTTTAAAGTAGCAATTTACTTTTTCATCTTTTCATAGATTTTGGCTTTTAAAAACCAGCCTTTACCTGTAATTGATCCACACGTTTCATTTTAAATACCATTCACATTGACAGAGCGGATTTATGTAACACTATGAACTGAAGTAGGTGCTTTGTGCCCGGGGTTGTATGAGCAGCGTGGTGAATACGAGTGAAGAAAGGAGATGAATCAATGTCCCCGTGGAGTTATGGTGTGGAAAGGACGACAGAACACAGGCAGTGCCACATGCGTATTTCATGCAGGATGCCGGAGTCCACAGAATGGGGAAAGGTGGTCACCCATATGGGGGAGGAGCACAGTTGGAAGTTAGGATGCTGAGAGGTGGAGGAGGATAATATGCAAGTTCCGTTCTTTTTTTAATTTTCTATTTTTCTTTGCTGGGTTTTCAGTAGTGGAAACTGAACCAGGGCCTTTGCACTGAGCTACAACCCAGGCCCTTTTATTTTTTATTTTGAGAAAGGGTTTTGCTAAGTTGTTAAATTGCCAAGGCTGGGATCAAGCTTTCGATCCTCCTGCCTCAGCCTTCCAAGTGCTAGGATTATGGGTGTTTGTCACCATGGCCAGCTCCCTTCATCTTGGTTTTTCTGGCTCTGTCATCAAGTATTTTTCCAAGCAGCGACTCTAATCTTTCTTTGTTCAATAAAATGTTACTAAAAAATTCTCTTTTTTTTAAAAAAAATTTTGAAGTGTTTTATAGGTCTCTTCATTCTGCACGTCCTAAGGAATCCTGATGTTTGAATCATCTTTGGCCAACCCTTTTACTTATCTTTGCTCTTAATTTCCTTTAAAGTTATATCCTTGTTTTTCTTCCGTATTGAAATTAACCTCAAGTCTCATTTTCTTTGGTGTTCCTATTTCATATTTATCTGCAAAATTTCAAGCCATATGATTTATGTTTTCTGAAGTTTAGAAATATGCTTTTGTAAAATTTAAAGTAAAGGTCTGTGCAGCATTTACTAGCAGATTCTTAAAACATTTTGGCCTCTTTCCTTTAAGGATTTTGAAACATCCGGTTAAGTAGAAAGTTTTGTGTTTTTAATCACATATATTCTGAAATGGTAGGGTTATATTTTACTCGTTTTTTTCTACTTCCTCCTAAAGTTGACACTTTCAGAAAGGTAAGTAAAATAATTTGTTGAGAAATTTTACTTTTAATGTTGTGCTGCAATTTGTGATAAGCAAGCATCTACAACGGCTAAATCCATTGTAACTTTTGTTGGGACAACAGTTTGACTATTGATGTTTTTTCTTCCTGTTTATATTTATCTCCCTTATTCTTAATTCTAAGGAAATTTACATATTATTTCTTCACTCACTTATCAAATCTACCAGCCAATTATTCCATCCATCCATCCATCCAGCCAGCCACCCTACATCTTTTTATTGTTTCTCCATGGTGTTGTGGCACCTCGGGACACCGGGGCTATAGCAGGAAAGAAATATTCTATTACTCTTTCTGAGCAAAGGGGCTCCTGGAAGCTGTCCTTGGCTCACTGCCTATGCCCCATGCTCCCTCGCATCTCCAAGGAACAGTGCACTGAGGGGCTGTGAACCGCCCTGAGCAGAAACCCCACTTGGCATCTCATGCGGGTCTTGCTGCTCGGATCATCACCTGCCTCTTGAAACTTGCTCTGGTCTCTTTGTTCCCTTTAAAATCTTTTTTCTTTCTGGTTCTTGCCCCATGCCTCCTCTTCTACCTTGGAATCTATTACCTCTTTTAAATAAGGTCAGGGACAGAGAGGAACTGCCTTTCACACTTTTCTGCAGTGGGATCAGCTCACATTTAGAGGATTAAGTGGCTGCTCTCACTCTAGGAAAGAAGATGAATTCATCACAGAGCTCCTGTGTCAGAGGACAGGTAATGAGGTAATTCATGGTCTTGGGGCCAAAGTGCTGCATTTCAAATGAACTGATCCATATCCCTGCCCCTCTCAAACAGGAGCGGCCAGAGTTTACGAGACAGCCACAAGAAAGTGCATCGCCAAACTGGAAGGTCACGAAGGGGAAATTTCAAAGGTGAGTTGCTCTTCCACTTGGAACAGTTCATTGACTTTGAAAAAATAAGCAGCACAGTCCGTATAAGTAGTTTTATTGGTACAGAAGTCTGTTCAATTTTATCATTTTGTCCAGAAATCATTGTAATGTATCCTTCCTCCAAACATAGCACAATAAATGATTTCTAGAACATTTAAAAAGTGTAAAACAGCATTCTGTTCAACCATCAGCAAAAGACTTAGCTGAAAATACATAATATAGCAATTTATGGAGCTTATGAGGTGCCAGGAAGTCCCGTTATAGTAAACACTCAAGTTTATTGTCCCCAAAGCGTTCTGTGTAGCGAGTATCAAGTGTTTTGTAAATTAGATGCAACTGAGAAAGTATTTCCTGGAAATACTAAGCACTTAAGGTTTATAATTATCCATTTTGAAATCACAAAGTTGCATCTTAGGATTTTGTGTAAACTTTCCCTGAAAGCTTATTCACAGAGCAGAGCCGCCCAGTCAGTTTTTGTATTCATATTTGTACCATCGCAGCATGGGAGAGTCTGCTGCGACTTGGGTCTTTTGCCTTCTGACTCGGAGAAATTCTTGGTCTCGTATCTGAGATCATCTTTGCTCCTTCCTTATGTAATATCAGCCTGATGGTTTCCGGCCTCTGGAGGCTCCGTTTAGGGCCTGGATCCGCCCCACATTGGACTCTTACCTCTCTCACCTCTGCACCTGCACCTGGTGGCCGTGGGCCTGTGGCTGGTCAGTGCTGAGATAAAGCCCAAGTCCTTCCCATAGGCGGAGAAACACAGAGGTGGCGGGAGGGGCCGGGAAAGTGGGGCGTGGATGTTGGGGAGCCGAGGTCATGTTCCCAAGTGTCCGGCTAGATAGCTACTGACGTGTCTGGCATTTCCTCTCAACAGGTACGCATCTGTACTTGTGAATGTGTGAATAGAAAGAGGTTCTTTGTTATTAAGTTTTGTGCTTGTTAAGTGAATATGTCACTTACGGAATTTCCACGTGGCAGTGGCATTTCTGTCGGGTCCAAAGCTATTCATTCAATCATTTATTCACTCAGCAAATGTGTTTTGAGAGCTTCCATTGTCTGGGCATTGTGCAGGTATGGAGGACACAGCGATGAGTCATGGACGTAGCCCTCTCTCCTCAAATCTTCAGGCAGAGGACAGGGCTGAAATCATTGTCTCCTGATGACTAGAGAGGGAGTGAAGAGGGACTTCAGTCTCAGTCAGTTTTCTTGTCACTGGGACAAGTATCTGACACCAGCAATTTAAAGGAGGAGAAGTTCATTTTGGTTCGGTTACGGTCCATGGTTGTCTGGCTTCGTGGCAGAAATGGCAGAGCAGAGGGAAAAGTCACAGAGGTCATGAAGCACAGTGAGAGATGAGAGGAGGCAGTGACAGAAACAGACCCTTCTGGGCCACACCCCCAGTGACCCACCTTTTCTGACTTGGTCCCACCTTCTAACAGCACCTTCAGCCATAGATTCATCCAGTGGATCAACCCACTGATGAGTACAGCATGCCCATGGCCCAGCTACCTTCAAAAAGTCCCACTTCTGAACATATGAGACATTTGGGGGACATTCTAGATCTAAACCGTAAGGAATGGGGGACCAATTGGTGTCTGGCTGCAGATCAGATCCAGGTTGACAGTGCCTGGCACTTTGGAGGCATTCAGACCTCATTATGGAGAAAGTGCTGGGCTTCCATAGCAATAGATGAGAAAGTCCCTTCTCGTAGACCTGGACATTCACTTATTCCATGGCACAGTGAGTGATAAAAGGAATCTATGCTTTTAATTACCGAAAGTCATGTTGCAGAGATGGCATGGGGCTTTACATATGATAGATCCTGCCTTGGGTCTTCATCCACAGCAGGGTTCTCTTCATCTGAACAAAGAAGGAAGGCATCACGAGTCTTTGGAAAGAAGCTAGGTAGGAAATACTCAAATTATAATAATGCTTTGGTCTTTATCCTTAGAATCGGGAAGGGGTCGTTAATTAAACTTTTCCATCTAGATGGCCAATTTTCATGCCCCTATAACATTTTTCCCATTATGAAGAAATTGTTCTGTGTAAGAGTAAGTAAGTACTGGGCTGGAGAGATGATAGGTGCTTAGTTATGTCCTATTTTCATTGATGAAAATTGATTGGAACTATTACATAAACATGCGATCATTTTTCTTTCTTCTCTCTCTTTTTTTAGATTTCTTTCAACCCCCAAGGCAACCGCCTTCTGACTGGCAGCTCTGACAAAACAGCTCGAATCTGGGATGCTACCACTGGCCAGTGTCTGCAGGTTCTTGAGGGGCACACGGATGAGATCTTTTCGTGTGCTTTCAACTATAAAGGCAACATAGTCATTACAGGTAGGAGGGAAGTACTCACCATGGGCCTGGCTTTCCTTTTAAATTGGCTGTTGCCAAGCTGTGTGCTAAAAGGATTTCATTCCCACCACTAGCCCATTTCCAGGGTCCCTGTCTCATTTTGGCATGTCATTCTGTCCCCATTATTTAAGTTTAATTGTATCAGGCCCCACAGGGCATGAATGGTGCCCTTTTCTGTAAGACCTCATGAGTTTTGAATGTGAATCGCTCTAGATAAGGTAGTAATTTGAAAGCCTGCCTTGTGGGTTAGTGTATTTCCCCAGTCTTCCATGGATTGAAAGGTTAATATTCAATTGATGTCAATAAGCAGGAGTAACCAAAACATGTTAGGACCAGAGTTCTCCACCATTGGTTTCATAGCCCATTAGAGATTTACTCTTTGAGTTAAATTGTTTTCTCTGTGGATATTCCCTGCCAAGGTGCTAATATTTGGGGAAAAGAGCACATATTGAGCATTTTTCCTACCATTAGGCAGTTCTTTTGAATTATTCATTGTAACAACATTTTAGTGAATGGATTTAGAGCAGGCTAATTTGTGTTGTGTAAAGGAGACACTGATAGGAAGGTCATGCCATCATGTTGGCTTAGTGCCTCTGGCAGAAGGCTTGGCAAGGAGCAAGGTTGTAAGGTAGTGTGGGGTAGGGATGCCCTAGCCAGAAAACTAAATCTGCTTAGTTCACACTGATTTGCATTGTGTTGAGTCCATTTAAAAGTTGTCAAAATTATTTAAGAAGTCCAATGTCCCATAATCAAGTCCAGTGTCATATTTCAGCTGATTAAGTGTCTTCCTAGTCATACAACTTCAAGGATGATGAGAATTGTCTCCCTTAGGCCCCTACTTAATTATGGGCAAGTTCTAAAGTTATGGGCTATATCTTTGCACTGTGATTTTCCAATGTTAACTGAAATCTAGGTATTTTAGAAACACTAGCCTACTTATCTACATATTTATTGTAAACACAATGTCGTATCCTTTCCCATGACGGCAGTGCTGTGGGAGGCAGCAGCAGGAGGAAGGCAGGCCAGCTTCCACCATCCCTATGTTTCCTGTGAGGCTGGCTCTTCCCTCAGCTTGTTTCACAATAGACCTTGGAGAGTTTAGGAAGGAATAGTAGTTGCCTGTGCCATGTTTAAATGCTGGCACTAAATTCCTGAGCTCTTTTAAGATACCATTGATTTTTTTAGTGCGCTCCAAAGTATCAAGTGGTAAATTACATTGGATGGCAGAGGTTCTTAGAATGAGGTGACACTTCTATCTTGTGGCCAGCAAAGCGGTCACTTTATCTGAATTTATCTGTCCTATTTTTCTGGTATACCCTGGTGTGATAAACTACTTGGATTTTTTTAGGGGCTGGATGAAGTTAGTTTAGACCACACATTGGCAGAACTGCAGCCAGTGTGGTCTTCATGTCTTTAAAAATGTGAGGTGTGTTTAAAATGTGGACTGTGCAGTTCATATAGGATTTCCAAATTCCCATAACCCTCTCCCTTGACCCTGAAAAAGTTGACTTGTAAAAAGTGAGCATAAAGTAGACCAAATTTTAAAAAAATAACTGTGCATTTGTTATTATTAGGTAGCAAGGATAATACCTGTAGGATATGGTGTTGATTGAAGAAGTCTGCTGATGACTCAATTCGTAAGCGATTGTGACCAAGGCCTTGAGCTTCCCACATGACAAGCGAGCTGTGTTCATATCTCAGGAGCTTTCTCTTTTTATACAAGCACTCTGGCCTTAATTTCGCATATTTGACCATTAAAACTGGTGAAGTTTTATCATTTGTTGATATTATTTGATGGGAATGATTTCATAATATTTAGTGAATGCCACTAGTTATTTCAGTTGTGTTTTATTTTAGTAGCATCATAATGCTGATAAGTAAAAACAGAACAATTTAACAATATGTCTCCTAGATTCTCCTTTCAAGGCTATTGTCATAATTTCTGTTGCATAAAGTTTTCTTCTGAGAAAATTCCTTATAAATTGGATGTCTGCTATATGTTTTGGAGTGGTATAAAGAAAATAAAATGGTGCTTTTTAAATGGCAAATATATTCTAGATTGACAGAGGGCTGAAAAAAGTGTAAGCAGAGCTAAGCAAAAGTTAAACAGAATAGACATTCCAACTACTGAATTTAAAAATCTGGATGGAAAACAAATGAAGCATGAGAAAGAATAATCAAATCAAAGATCAATCTGAGTGTGGCTGGAATATTAAAAAGTGGTTTTTTAAAGGTTGTAAAATTGCTCAAATGCATATTAAAAATTAATGTTAAAAGTTAAAGCACAAACTAAAATTAATAATACCTAAATTTAGAATAAGAAAATACATGAGAATCTTATAGAATAAATCTTTTTTAAAAAGCTTTATTGAGATACAATTGATAAACAAAAAATTGCACATACATAATGGATACGGTTTGGTGAGTTAGGGCATATGTATATGCCTGTGATACCACTATCATGATCAAGGTACTAAACGTATCTATTACTTCCAACAAAGTGTGTTATCTAGAAGTTTCAAAATAAGTTTGTGATTAATTTGTGGACCTGCAAGAGATGAGAATTCTAGAAACATTATCTTCAGGCTGTAAGTACAGTGAGGGAGAAGATGCGGTTTGTTTTGCCTTTTGGGAGATGTTGGGTGTGGTTCTTTGAACAAAGTTGCCTTTGCAAATCCTTTCTTGGGGTATTAATCAAGTAACTGCCACAACACGTCAGAGGTCCGTGGATTTTACTGAACGATGAAGAGAACGAACATTGCTGACTGACGACATGTGGAACATGTGGCTCGCACACCTCTCTTTGTTCTCTTATCACACCAGGTGGCAGTGTTGATCTTTTGGCGGATAAGTTCTCGTTTTTCTTACAGCTACAAAGAAGAGCATGAAGAGTAGAGTTCATGCCATGTCCCTTACAGATCAGGGTTATGTGGGGACACAGAACAGTTTAAAGCTTGGGATTGTCTTGGCCGATCTGTGGTAAACGAGTTATCTCATTAATTCCGCTGGGCACACAGATGTTTTCCCACTGACTCACGAGGACGCAGCCCAGTGAGGTGAATAAGAGACAGCTCTGTTTCTCTGTACAGGTCCCTCTGTTGGGAACCAGATTATGATAATTTGTTTTCTAACGAAGTAGTCCGTCAAGGAATCCAATACTCATTTATGTCTTTAAATGCTAATATTTGATCAGAGTAAATATAAATTATTTTACATTTTAATAAAATTTATCATAACTTCAGTGGATTGACAGTCTAAATACCACAAGTACTCTGAATTTTGTTATTTTCATGTAACTATACCTAAAGGGCCTGTATTATTATTCTGCCTTGCCATTTTTTGGCTCTGGGGCTTTCAGAATTCAAACACTTCCTGAGGCTGTTATCTTTTTATAAACTGGAACTAATAATAGTATGGAGGAAATTTGTATGGATTGTATGAATTAATAGATACACGGAGAGCCCGATACATAGTAAGCACTCATTTAGTCAGAGCTAAGATTTGTGGACACTGTATAAGTGACTTGGATTTAATTGAGTTAAGATCTAGGAAAGAATTCGTACATTTCAGGCACATTTTTCTCATGAATATATTATGTCTTAGAGCATCCCTGCTATAAAGTGTTCCAATTCACTTTTTCCTTAGAAAAGGGAGGTTAAAGACATATAGAGAGTGTTTTGAGTGAGCATCTCTCATGAATTCTTAGAGTGTGAATAAGATTTGGGTTCATCTTAACAAACGTGTTGTTTATAAGTCTTAATCAGCCCAGTTTCTCAGTACCCTTTCCCCCAAAGTTTGAATTTCTAAGCAAGTCACAAAGCCTCTTCCAACCTACACTGTAATGGAAATCATTGTTGGTGAGGAGGAAGACTTAAACGTCACTAATTAAAGTGAATTGCAAAATTCTTCATGAAATCTTTCCCCTTGAGATAATAAAATTTTCTTTAAAAAATAGGAAAATGTCCAAAGGTGTAGGGGTGGTGGGAGGGGAAGGGGAAATGGAAGAAGGGAAAGGAAAAATTATGAGAAAGAAAAAAAAGAATGGAAACAAAGTCTATGTAAATAGGGAAGGGCACACAGGTAATGGGGAAAAAATAAGAACTAAGATACATCATGTTCAGGTACAAACCCCCAATGATAAATGTGAACATATTGTATATCTAAAATGTACCAATAAATAAATAAAAATGCAATTTATCAAATACTTCAAAATCTCTTGAAAGGGTGGAAGCATTCTCCAGGGCGTTCTGATGTGTTTATTCAAATTTCAGTGATTCATGCCTTCTGGGAGGGTTGACAAATGCCCTAACATTCAAAGTGTATTTGCTCACAGTGACCACTGAAGGAGCTGGTGCCTCCCAAACAGGAGGCTATGGCCGAATTCCCACAGATACTTCTGACAGAAGGTCCTTCAGCATTTAGGGTTTTGTTTTATGCCAGATGTTTGAGAGTCCTCCAGAAAGAAGCAGTTTCCGGTGTGGCTCCTGGTTTGATATTTTATTTCTTACCTATAAGCTTTACTATTTGCAGCTATTTCTAGGACACACCCTCTCATCTTTAATTGTGGAAATAGCAATTCCAGGGGGAACACCTGAATTTCTGCTTACTGCAAATATGGTTTTTCCTTTTTTTTTTTTTTTGCCAAGGGAATGTATATTCCTGGACTGAAGAAAGATCCCAGATATTTTCCCCAGGCAAGAGTAGGCATGTTTTGTAGATGTGCTTCAGGCAGAAGGGCAAGTACAATTCTTTTCCAGGCCAGAGACTTTTTTTGAAACTTTACCTAGTAGAAAAGCAAGTAGATCTTCCAGAGTGCTTGAATATCTGGAGACCCTAGCTTAGCTAAGTAGACAAACAAAACTGAGCATCACAGGGAAGAACATTCAACAACCCATTCCAGAGTACCACACATTTCAGGAAAGAGACAAATCTATTTTCTATAGACTGTGAAAAAGTCAATATGCAGTGAGCCTGGTTAAATTCTATGGAGAATGTGCAGTGACATTTTTGGATGACTTTCCTGTTTGGATAAATATCACTGGCCAGTCCTCTCCCCCGAGTATCTGAGTCTGCATGGCTCTGAGAGATGGGAGCTTGATGGGGAAAGGGAACAGGCTGTCCTGGGGTCACAGCCTCCCCAGTGTCCCGCCCAGGTCCTGCTTTCCAGACAGACAGACAGCTGCTGTGTGTGGTGTCCCCATCTGAAGCAGTTCACCTGAGAGAGATTTCCACAGGATGGACTCTTCCCGAAGCCTTTCTCCAGGAGATGAGGAGAATGAGAGCATTTTTATAATAGAGTGGCTCGGAGGAAGATTCATCTTTATTTAGAAATGAAATTTTCGCTGGAGTCACTTCATTTTTACTTAAGATTTCATAAAATTTCCAGTTGAAAAATTAGATGTATGTACCAAGGTTGTTCCAACTATACTTAAGAGTTGTCCAACAACTAAGATGAGCACCAAGTGCTGTAATTATTTTTTCTAACAGTTATGCCCATAATGACAGGCCTGGTTTACCTTTGTAGAGAGTTAATTTGACTTTGATATAAATCTTTTGGTTGAAGCTGGATTTGTTCAAGTTAAGTACACTGAATAATTCTTACATCAACTCTATATTAGTAGCATGAAATTAATAAATAAAATTAGAACTCCAGTCACACTGGGCACATTTCAAGTGTTCATGTCCACATGTGAATAAGGGCTACCATACTGGCCATTGCAGGTATAGAAGATGTCATTGCTGCATGATGTAATCAGAGGTATTTGCAGAAGTTGCTCTATGATCAAATCAAGGCAGTGGCCAAGCTCAGGGATGTTAACATTTCCATTTTCTCTGCCTGGCTTGGAGTCTCACACTTGATAGTAACATTGAGACTAGTATGGTTGAGCCAGGAGTGGCTATGCTTCTTGGTATGTCAACCAATCCCTTTCCGTGTGAAGCACTGAACTATTTGCTGATTGGTTGCTAATTTCATACTCTACTTATTTATAGCTCCAAAATAATGTTTGATACTTAACTTGTTTCACCTTGAGTGAATTTTTTAAACTACGTGTTCAAAGAAAATAAAGACTGTGATATACATTGCCTTTCCAATTTGCTACATGAGCTTATATATTGTCTCCTATAGTTTGGGTCTTCAGTGTCTCTTAAAGGACCATGTGATAAACGCTTGCTGTCCAGGGTAGCACTATAGGAAGCTGGTAGAGACTTTTGGAGGTGGAGAGTCCCTTACACTATTGAGGATGAACCCTGGAAAGGGACTGTTTCTTACCCTCCCTCTTTTGTGCTTCCTCACCATGAGGCGAGCAGGTTTGCTCTGCCAAATGCTCCACCATGATGTGCTGCCTCATTGAAAGAAATGAGGCCAACTGATCTGTACTGAAACTTCGAAATCTGTGAGGCAAGCTAAGCCCTTTCTCTTTTTAAATTGATTGTCTCAGGTATTTGTTATAATAATAGAAAGCTAACATTCTCTTCTGTGTAAATTCAGCTTGGTTATTTCTGAAATGGTACCACTTGACAGCAACTTAAAGCAAGATCAATGAAGCAGTCTAAGCAATTTCTGAACCCAAGCCTGATTTTATTTATTTTTTGTCCTGATTCATATCTCTTCTAACTCTCAGAAATCTATAATTTAATGATTTTAGAAATATGCCAAAGAGAGGCTCAATGTAAATTCAAATAAATTTCAAGTTTGAGTTGGGTTTTTTTCATAAATAGACTAATAAAATTTTGAATTTTAAATAAAGTTTTAATATTTAGCCCCATGAAAAGCATGAAGGCAAAAATCCTATTTAGAAATGCATTTTGTGAAGAAATGGTCCTAAATTATATTAGCAACCTCTTTTTTTTTTGTACTGGGCATCGAACTTGGGACCTTGCACTTGCAAGTCAGATGGCGGAACCACTGAGCTAAATCTCCAGCTAGCAATCTCTTTTGATAAATATTCAGCCAATGTGTGAATTGGTAAAAGATCAACCAGCAGATTGGGTGTAATTTTATCTGGGCTGATCTTGGGAGACAGATAAATAACAGCATTTTCAGATATAATCTGAAAATGATATAATTTGATATGACAGCTATAATTCTGGTCTATGAATGCTGACATATCTTTGCTAAAAGATGGTTCTTTGTGCTCAGGTCTTCTTAGGAAAGTATCTAGTGTAAAGGACATTCAGTGAAGTAAATCAGACATGCAAGCTTAAATATCATATGGTTTGTCTTATAGAAGACACCCAAAGTATAAATAAAGAGCAGAAGAAAAGATAGGTAAGGAAGATGGTCCTTTCTCAAATGGGAAGTGCATCAAGAAATGGAGAGGAAAGGAATGGGAGGGAAGAGGAAAGAAGGAAATAAGATGTGTTATACACATGTACCAACTCCACAAGAAACATAGACATTATGTACTACAAACATGTACTAATAAAGAGAATGACCTGCAAAATAACGCTATAGAGTTAAGCACTGTCATTTCTTATGTCACAATTCTATGTGGACCCTTTCATAGCCAGAGCTAGAATGTCTTCATAGAAAATGTGAAAGTTACATCTACACATGCACGGATGCAATCTAATTATAAAATTGAAGAAGGTAAAGTGGTACCTCGGTTCACGAACTTAATTTAGTCCACCATTTTGGAAAAGATGGCCACATCTGTGTTTGTGGGGGAAAGAAGGCTGCAGTTGTGGTTTTCATCTGATGAAGAGTTTGCAACAGAACCAAAATTTGGCAAACGCCTTTGTTTGTGAACCAAATTGTTCATTTGTAAAACTTTAAATGAGGGAAAAAAGTAAAAAGAACTTCCTAAATAGCTAATATATTGAGCCATTTGTTTATGGAGCAAACCCTAAACATTGTAGTTATTTGCTCCTAAGTATGCTTTTTTGGGGAGCAGGTATTTCGTTTATAGGGTTGGGTTTGCCAGGATGTCTGGGTGCAATAATGCTTAATAAGTGTTTAACACTTAACCTGGGATCGAACTCAGGACCTTGTGCTTGTGAGGCAGGCATGGTGCCACTGAGCTGAATGCCTGGCCCTGTTCAACACTTAGAGTGCCACTCAAGTTGTAAATCTCAGACAGGTCAGTTCACCTTCCAGGTGTTATACTGTTCTTACAATGCCTTTACAAGATACTTTACATGGACTCAATACTTTTATACTGCTTTTGCCTGGGCCAAATTATCTCTAGATTTTTTTCATCCTTTGCTTTTACTGAAATATGGAAAAGGGAGATCAATCACAATCTCTCCCTTTCTCTCTCTCTCTCTCTCTCTCTCTCTCTCTCTCTCTCTTCCTGCCAGAAAAGGATCATCAACTGGCAGAATTTAACGACATAATTTTCTCCTTTACTAGAATAACTGATGAGAATTGAATTGTACTAGACAGATATTTTCATGAGGTTCATTGTTTTACTTGAAAGAAAATATGTTTGCAGATTCTTAGTACCAAGAGACTTCAAGCCAGTGGGAGACTAAACCTCCCACACTGATAGTTTAAAGCCTGTCTGAATAAACATGAAAGATTTAAGAAGGCAGTATGCCTCACATCATGAAGCTCTTTTTTGTATTCAACTGTCCCTACTATATGGAAATTCCAGAGCCAGCAACATTCACAAGCTCAACTAAGTATGCTTTAAAATACGTTTTGCCTAAGCCCACATTAATTTCCAACATATAAAAAATTCATTGTTCTTTGAGTTCAGAATTTAGTTAATTGAGGGTATCTTGAGAGGTTAATTTGAAAGTATACCTTTCAGTGTTTAAAGGAGATTCTGTTTTTAAACTTACTATGGTGATGCGGAATAATTACTTCCAGGGAAGCTAGTCAAGACCAGCATGTGGCACTGTGGAGATAAATAAATTCTTGTTTCAGGAAGATCTGCTTTGAGAAAAATAATTTCCCAAATGATTATTAATAAATGTACCTGAGCTGACCTAAATGAAAATATAGGGGAAATTATATTAATATTATGGCATTTATGTCTTCTCTAAATGATAAAATGTGCTTATCAATTAGTCTCACCACATTTGTATTAAAGAGAACCTGACA